AGGTCTAAACAGGTTCAAGACTTCCCGCCTCTCACAGATTCAGGACCAGAATTCCCAAACCTATATGCATTTCCTGAATGTTCCTAGACAGGATAATCTTCTAGGTTCACATCTATTTGTCAGGGTCCACTTCTCCAGACAGTTGCCAGATCCATGAATCTTAAAACTACACACAGATTGGAAAGTTGTTTGCATTCCCTCAGCTTGAACCGTGTCAATGTTTCTTAGGAGCATATTAATTGAAGATATGCCCCTCTGGCTCACCAAGAAAAGTCACAGAATCACTGCAAAGTCACCAGGACAGCTTCCTTTGGACTTCTACACATGAAAAAATGCCAGAGTCTTGGTTCAAACCTAGCCCCTTGCTTGAAGTGACTTAGTCAACTTGGTTATTATAAGAATAGAGATTGTTCTTTGAAACAAGGTAACATTTCATGGTTTTCATGAAACAGTTTCCAAAATGGTCATTGAGAATGGAAGTCATTCTCACTGGAATTTTTATGTGATAGCTTGGATCTGAACTATTTCTCAAAGCACACATGATGAAGGGCTGATACCCAGAGAGTCATTACTGAGAAGTGGCAGAGCATTTAGGAGATGGGGCCTAATGGGAGGTCTTCAGGTCATTTGGGTGTGGCCTTGAAGCAGCTAGTGGTGCTTAGTCCATTCTTTTTTGTGCATATGATTTTTTCTCTTCTTTTTTTAATCTAATTTTTGAAAACTTCATACAAAATATATTGATCATATTAAAACCTTCCTCTCTGCACCTTTCTTATAGCCCCCCCACCAGATTTCATGGACTCTTGTTAAGGCCAATAGAACTAATGTCCCCAGTGTCCTTATGCATCCTTTGGTGTATGTCCATCCACTGGAGCCTAGCTAACCTATCTAGACTCACACCCTTAAAGAAAACCAACTTTCCCTTTCCAGCAGTTATCTAGCCCATACTTCTTTCCCTCCTTTGCTTCCCAGCATGAGATGAGTGATTTTCCTCTGCCGTGTGCTCTCACCATGATGGGATACCACAGGTCTGAAATAACAGGGCCAGTCTATCCTGGACTGGAACCACTAAAACCATGAGCTAAAACAAACCTTCTTTTCCTAAGTTTGTTATCTTGGGAATGTGATTTATCAAGGGAAGGATGACTGACACAATTCACAAATCCATTTGCCAACAGTCACATCATTGCACCGCCAGTGTTGTCTGTGGCACCTCCATTTGCAAGAACTCCTTCATTCTTGAGTCTACGAAGAAAAGGCATTTGTTCCATGTGCTCTAACTACATTCTCAACCACTGAGACAATAGATAGGCCAAATTACTCATATGTAACCTAACTAATGCCTCATGTTATAGAGTCTTGAATTGTCCTCAAACAGAAACAGCAGTTTTGGAGAGAGTTACATCTCTGCACTTATCAGCCAAGCAAGAATTCTCAAGTTTGTGAACACCTCTGACTGTGTTGCCAAAAATCAGCTACATAAGTCAGGGGTCTATCAGGACTCTCTCTCACCCACACATCATAATAATAATAATAACAATAACAATAATAATAATAATAATTATAATAATAATAATATGTTTTTGTAACAAAATGTGTGCCCTGGCATACATGTGGAGGTCAGAGGACAATTTGCAGGTATTCTCTCCTTCTACCATGTGAGTCCCGGGGATTGAACTCAGATTGTCAGGCTTGGTGGTAAGTACTTTAAGCTCATGAAGCAACCTTACCAGCCTAAAAAGGTAACTTTTTAATAACCAACAGTTTCCTCACCTGTGGGAAGCGAGCACTGCTGAGTCAGCCAGATGGCGCCCTGGCTGGCTGCCAAACCTCGTGCTGTTTACTCCAACTCTTGGCTGATTGCCAAGGCTCGTGATTCCCGCTTGCTTACTCCAAAGTATGGAGAGGCCAAACAGGTGCTGCCAGCCTGGTGATCTTGCTACATGCCTATGAGCTAGATTCTGCCTGGCCGCTGCACGTGTGTGAGCCCTGATTGGTACCGGCTGGGGGGAGGGCTGTTGGAAACACTATATAAAGGCTGAAGTGTGTAATAGAGAGAACCAGCATCATAGTGAGCCAGCATCATAGTGAAGAGAATACGAGAGAATAAAGGAGAAAGAGAAACAGAAGCTTGAACCTCACCTTGGTGTCTGTGTCGTCTTTCCTGGACTCTGCTGGACAGAGTCCCGGCTCGCGACAGAGGAAGCACAGGAGAAGGAGGGGCCCTTACCCAGCCTGTTCTACATGTTAGTACATGTAACCTCATGGCCACGTTTCTGTCAGCAACTTCAATAATTGGATCTAATACGTGGTTTTGTGGGGTTTTCTTTGTGTCTACAACTTGATCCACTGCCCAGAGGCCCCAGTTAAAGGCTTTCTAATACCCCTAGAAAGCAATTTTTTTTGAGAATGGGTAACCCCAATTGATCTGGAACATTCTATACAGACTATTCTTGTCTTAGTGTCACAGAGATCCACCTGGCTCTGCCTCTTGAGTGCTGGGATTAAAGGTGTGCACCACCACCCCAGCAGACAGATTCTTGACTAAGAAGTAACTAAAAGGCAAGCAAAATGTGGACCGAGATTGAACACATGGTGCTGGTTGTGAATGCATGAGGGATTGTGGAGAGTAGCTGAGTTTTGGCACTGCCATTGATGAGAAGAGGCCATTGGTGAAGGTGCAGCCTCGGAGGCAGTAGAAACCCCAGATGTTGGAGATGCCAGAGTTGTGGGGTAACCATCAAGCATCAGATGTGGAGTGGGGCAGTCCTAAGTCTGTGAAGTCAGGTGTGTGTGTTCTGATGGTGGGGCCAGAGAAGTAGAGCTGCCCGAGCCTTTAGGAAAGCAGAAGATTGTGAATTCCAGTTGTTACGGAGATTGAGCTACACTGAGCTACACTGATGAATTTTGATTTTACTTAAGTATGCCTGGTTCTTCTCATTTGAAAAAAGTGAAAGTAACTTACTATTCTTGTTTGTTTTTAGAGACAGGGTCCCACATGTAACTCTGGCTAACCTAGGACTCACTATATAGATCAGGCTGGCCTTGAATTCACAGAGATTCATCTGCCTCTGCCCCTTGAGTGCTGGAATTAAAGATGCAAGCCTAGATTCCCAGCTATTTCACATTTTTTATTTTACAGGAGACCACAGTCTCAAGATATTTTAGACATTCAACTTTTACAGTATTTCAGTTTTTAAAGCTTTATATTGGGCTTTTTCAAATTTTATAGTGTGACTTTTAAAGTTGTTGTATGTTTTAAATTATGATGAGATCATGGGGATAAGGAAGAAAAGAAAGGT